TTAACCACTGATTTCTAGTCGTGTCCTCTTTTGGAAGGCCAAACAAAGTAGTTTTGCTTTCACAACAAAACACACGGCGGGCTAGAATGAGCGGAGGCCAGGGGCTAGAGTGAGCAGCGGCGGGCGGGCTTGAGAACGGCGCGGCCAGCGGATTCGACGAAGTGACGACCCCCGGCTGGACTCTGCTTCGTCCATAGTGAAAGCCGATCCGGCGATCCACAGCGCAAATTTTATGTATTTCCTCAGCGACCAGCACAGATCAGCTCGAAGCATGACAAAGCAGATATCGTCCTCTTTTGGAAGACCAAACAAAGTAGTTTCGCTTTCACAACGAAACAAAGCGCCTTCACGACATGGCAGCGGCGGCAACAACAATACTACAGCGAGAATAAAAGTTACGCCTTCTTTCTTTGTGTGAACATTTGGGCGGCGTTATGCAAATCTTCCCACATCGTGACGTAGACGTGGGGGCGTGTTAGAACGAGCCGTTTTAGGTAGGCGTGGTTGACTCTTAACTTTTATAAAGAATATCTCTTTGGATTTGAGACTTTAGTCTTTGCAACTTTACAGATCTTCTTTATGCACCAAGAGCTTGTAACACTCCAAAGAGAAAGGAAAAATTGAAATTGCATCATATGACTCCTTTAATATTTCGGGACATCAAAGCATTCACAATCTGGTATCATTAGCGTTGCAATAAAAATGTAAAATGTCGTTCTGATCATGCAAGTCACCAATGTTTTGAGTATCAGCTACTGATGATAATGTAAAAGGCTTTCTTGGCTTTAAAAATAAACTTTGTGTTTAAGGTTTGGCTATAAAAGGCTATTAATAAATAGCTTCTTCTAAGCTCATAAACTGATTATTTGGTATATACTGTAACAACAAGATATATGACAGTGAGGCCTCTGCCAGTACATTCACTCAAATGATGATGCTTGGCACTGAACAGACCAATTAACATCTCTAAACATAGTTTTCTTTTTTTTTTTTTACTGCAATTAAACCTAACCTTTTTTATTAAGGTTTTGTTAGGGAAACACGCAGTGCATTGATTAGCTTAATATCCAACCATGTGTACTGTGCACCTTAAAAACAGCAAGAAGGGATTACTGGGAGACTATGTGATGCTACAAACTATTAAAGGGGAATCACAATGCACTGGGTCAGCTGGCCAATCAGAGCAGACTGCGCTTGTCAGAAGGAGGGACTTTTTAGAAAACTAAGCGTTTGAGAGAGGCGGGGCATAGAGGACCTACAATAATGTACAGTATTTGAAAAATAATGTGTTTTTTGAACATTAAAGCATGTCAACATATTCTGTTACACCAAATACCAAAAAGCATCATATGACCCCTTTAAAAATGGAAATGCCAGTGGCCATAGGTATGGTGGCATGTTTTTGACTTTGGTTTTTAATTCTGTAATGATGATAACATGCAGGTAACATGCAAACAGTGGTGACTCTGCAGAGAGGTATCAAAGTAGATTTAGCACAACGGTTATCTGGACTGATGAATGGCAAACTACACAATATGTTATTGGTGTCCTTTGGTGCCCAAGTGACCCACAATCATAAACCCAAGCTCTGCTGGGTAAATGTAGTGACTAAACAATTCAGTAATTACCACTATTCGTGGAGTGATGTTGCTGTAGGGACATGTTATCATTTTAATGCAATGATATGACCATTGTCATCAGATACATATTCCGCTGTTGAGGAGAACTGGTTTTTTTGCTGTTGCTGTGTTCACATCCTGATCACCCGCTGCATCTGAATATGCCCACTTCTCTACTACACAGTATGCAAAAAGCAGTACACCAGAAGAGTAGCATGTCTGAATATAGTATTTGAAAAACAGTAGGCAAAAAGTACCTGGATCACTCCTACCACTTTTAATGGTTCTTGGTCAAAAGTAGTAGCTACTCTGGCTGTGTGCGATTTCGGACACAGCTCCTCTCTCTTTGCCTCTTAATAAAAATAGAAAAAGTACCTGAAAAGAAAAGGACCACTGAGAAATGCCTACATATAGGGAACAACTGAATTATATTGTGTGGCTATGGTTAGGCTATTCCTTGAATAGTCTGTATAAACACTGCAGATCCTCACTCATGGTAACAGTTTAGTCTATTAAACAGCAACATAATTGGCAGAACAGAGGAAGAGTTAACCTCTTACCTTGCTGAAAACCAAAATGTTTTAACAGGGTAATGGATTTCCTGCTCTATTTGATATGAAATGGACTGCATTTGCGTACACGTGTTCATTGGGTGGGTGATTTTATGTTTTTAAATACGCTTTAAAAGCATTGTTTACATTTGCAAAAAGCGTTGGCTTTATATTAGATGTATTACGGCAGTGGGAGGACGGTTATAAACATGACAGTCTTATCTGCACGTTATGTGCTAGTTTATTTCACCACACTTTGCCTGTTGTTGGAGATTTCAAGAGTTCCTTAGAGACAATTACCATTCATCGGAGGTTTGACAGTAGAACAGGTATGTGTTGCGTTTACATCAATACAACATGTATGACTGTCGCAAGTAGGTCATTATAGCAATAATATCTTCTATCCATCACATTAAACAAATACGAAACAAGCCGAATGTGTCACACGAGAGGCACAAGTTATTCAGCTTTACGTTTCCATCTGCACGACGCTTAGGTAAATAATTATGATGATGTATAACACTTACTCCGGGCCAATTAAATGTCGTTGTGATGAAGGTTGCAATGGATAAATGTGACCACAGGGTTACAGGCTCTTATTTCTCACTGTTTGACTGTTACTAACTAGGGAGTCATTTCCGCGAATCGGTTCTTTAGGAACAGTTTTAAAGAACCAATTACAAAAGGCTTGTTTGAGATGAGCAAAATCTTCGCA